GAAGGAAGAGGTAGAATGGGGAAACTTTTTTCACCTAAAAGGAGTGTACAAGGTCTTCGAGCTTTTACAATTGAAGGGAAAATGGAGGTGGTTGGGCAATGCTTGAACTTTACTTTCATCAAAATTGGTTCAAAGAGGTAAGAATATATACACGTATGTATATATATATACATATACGTATATATGCAAACACACACATTCAATTGTATATAGAAATGTAACTTACCCAATAAAGAAATAAGAGGGGGAGGAGATAAAAGAAAGGGGGGAGATGATAAAAGGGAGGGCAGATTAAGAGAGGCAGGGGTTAGAAACAAAATAAGATGGAATGGGATGACCTCACACATAAAATGGAAGCAGATAGCAAAATGGATTAGAAACCAGAGTCCAATATGTTGTCAACAAGAGACATACTTGAAACAGAAAGACAAACACAAAGTTAAAATAAAGAACTGGAACAGAACCTAATGTGCTTTAGCTGAAGTAAGAAAAAAAAAAGGCAGAGGTATAGCAATCATGATCTCAGGCAAAGCAAAAAATAAATAAATAAAAGGAACAATCAGGGAAACTACATTTTGCTAAAAGGCACCATAGACAATGAAGCGATATCAACAAATTTTGCAGCAAGTTTCTCTGATAAAGTCCCCATTTCTCAAATATTTATTGAACATAGAACTGAGCCAAATTTATAAAAATGGGAGCCATTCCCCAACTGATAAATGGTCAAAGGATATAAACAGGCAATTTTTAGAAGAAGAAATCAAAGCTATCGATAGTCATAAGAGAAAATGCTCTAAATCATTATTGATTAGAGAAAAGTAAATTGAAACAACTCTGAGGGACCACCTCACACCCATCAGAAATGACCAATGCTGGAGGCAATGAGAGAAAAATAGGGACACTAATGAATTGCTGGTGGAGTACTGAATTAGTCCAACCATTCTGGAGAACAATTTGGAACCAGGCCCAAAGGACATTCCCTAAAAAAGCAAACTGTGCTATACATAAATACATGCATAAATAAAACTGTGCACATTCTTTGACCCAGCAATACCACTACCAAGTCTGTATTTCAAAGAGATCCAAGAAAAAGGAAAAGGACTTATATGTACAAAAATATCCATAGCGGCTCTTTTTGTGGTGGCAAAGAAGCAGAAAATGAGGGGATGTTGATCAACTGGGAAATGGCTGAAGAAGTTGTGGTATGTAATTGTGATGGAGTACTATTGTGCTATAAAAAATGATGAGGGAGGTGGTTTTAGAAAAGCATGGCAAGACTTCTACGAACTGATGCAAACTGAAATGAGAAGAACCCGGAGATCATTGTACACAGTAACAGCAATATTGTAATGATGATCAGCTGTGAAAAATTTGGCTACTCTGATCAATACAATGACAAAGGACTCATGATAAAAAAATCAACATATCTATATATGTATATATGTGTATATATATATATATGTATATATGTATATAACCTATCTCCAGAGAGAGAATTGATGAACTCTGAGCACAAATTGAAGTATAATTTTCCACTTCATTTTTCTTGCTTTTAAAAAAATATGGGTAATATAGAAATATGTTTTACATGATTTCACTTGTATAATTGATATCATATTCTTTGCCTTCTCAGTGGGTGGGGGAGGATGTGAGATGGAGGGAGAGAATTTGGAACTCAAAATTAGAAAAGAAAAGCATATTCAAAATAAATAAATAAATAATTGAAAATCAATTTTTTAAAAAGATAAACCTTGCCCTAAGAGTTTATTGTACCTTAAAGTATTAACTAATTAAAGTATGAGCGATTAACAAGACATTTAAAAACAAAGTTTTGTGCTTGAAAACAACATGGGTTACCTATGAAAACATCCATGTCTGAACACCTGAATACTTAGAAACAGACTTTTCTGACCTGTTTGAAAACTTCTAAACAAAGAGTTGCAGTGGGCTTTGAACCCATTTGTTAAAAATAGAAAAATGCAACACCTTCTGATTAATATATAAAAAAAACAGTTAATATCAGTGAAGACAGAAATTTACTGGCTAGATTTCAAGAAAAAAAATCTTTCCATAATTGGTAGCTGTGATTGAAAAAAAGAATATCATGATTTAGTAAGCGCAACCCATAATGTACTGCTTCCATTTGAATTCTTGTTTCTCTATGAGATCTCTTTTGAATTAAATTTTGCTTAGAACCAGCCTTTTGAATTGCTGTTTCACAAGGGAGGAGTGGGAGTCAGAAGAGTGCAAGTATTTATTAAATGCTTAGTATGTGCCAGTCACTGCTAAATTTTACAGTTGAAGAATCTGAGGTAGACAGAGGTTAAGTGATGCGATGCCCCTACTCAACTTACGATGTTAAGTCAAGAATTAAACAAATAAGGAAATATTTAATCATATTGCTATAATTTAAAAATGATTTATCATAATTTTAGTGAGAGCAAAAAGGTTTTTTGTGCTATTATGTAAAAATAATTATTGAAAATATATTGCTTTTATTTTTATTTCATTCTATTAAATGTCTATGATGCATGTTTTATAATGTAAATAATATATTAGTACATATATAGAACTTACACATCAGTGTATATACATGTGTTTGGGGGGACATATTCATTGTTACTTATGTGGATTGGAGCAAAGAAGGAAGGGATAGGTGCAGCTATAGAGGTTTTGAGGTATAGGAGAGGAGAATTAGAAAGTTCAGCACAGAAGGCTTTGATTTTCTCAGTAAAGTTGGAGGTGAATACATCTGCTGAAGAGAGGGAAAGGAAAGGAAGGGGAAGGAAGAGAAGGGAACACCATTTTACAGATGGGAAACTGAAACAGAGGAGGTTAAGTGACTTGCCCGGGGTCCACAGTGAGTGAGTGTCTGAGGTCAGATTTGAACTCAGGTCTTCCTGACTCTGGCCTCAGTGTTCTATCCACTGCACCACCTAGTTGTGGGGGGCCTGGCTCAGCGGGGCTTGAGGAGAAAGGAAGGGTAGACAGTGTGAAAGGGAATCAATTAGAGATAAATAAAAAGATTACCAAGGATTAAGAGTGACTTAATCATCATCCTTAAAGGACCTAGGTTCAAATCCTGCCTCTCCCACCTGTGTGACTATGAAGAAGTTACAAATAACGTCTTAGAGCCTTGGTTTCCCCATCTGTATGTATTACTGTAGCAGAATGTTACATGTAAAATGAGAGAGTCAGAGAAGATGATTATTAAGGTCCCTCCCAGCTCTAAATCTGAGCTTCTCCAAGTGGACGGAGTGAAGAGGGAAGGAAGGGGCAGAGATGAACCTGGGGGCAGAGGGTGAGACTTTTAACCAAGGAATAAATGGAATGCTTTTTAGTTGAGATGATACCCAATCAGTTATAATTGTGATAATAAATTTCAGTTATCTAGTGAGAATGAAAACCAGATTGTCTGAATAGAAAGGAATCTTAGGGAATATCTAGTCCAATACCCTCATTTTACAGATCAGGGGACTGATGCCTGTTGAGAGAAAGTGATTTGTCCACCCCAGCAGAGCTGGGATTCCACTGACCGCAGCTCCCCAGAGGACATCTAATCCTTTCCATTGCACCCTTCACATAGACTCTTAGATCTGGAAGAGAGCTCAGGGGCCACTTGGTCTAACCCATGCCTGAGCATGATTGATTGAGCAAGAATCCCCTTCAGAATATCTTGGACCAGTGGTTATTCAGCCTTTGCCTGCAGCCCTCCACTGATTCTGCTTTGGGCAGCTCTCCTTGTAAGAGTGTTTTCCCTTTTGTTGAGCCTTAATCCATTTCTTGCCAATTTCCATTCATTGTTCCCGGTCATTTCCCTCTCAGGTGAAGTAGAACCAGTCTTATCTCTCCTCCATACAGCAGCCTTTTGGCTTCTCAAAAACAACTCTCATGTCTTCCCCAAGTCTTCTCTTCACTGGTCTGCAAATCCCTAGTTCCTTTAACCAGTCCTCACATAGGACCATAGAATTTAAATATGGAAAGGTCTTTAGAGGACACCTGATCCAATTTCCTTTGAGGAAATCGGAGCCCAGACTCAAATTCAGACTCAAAACCATTTACCAGTGGACAAGTTAAATGACTTGTCCAAGATCACACAGGTAATGACAGAGCCAGAGGTCTCAAGTCTCTCTACCACTCTGATTGACCCTCCTGAAACATGGCAGGCAAACCTTATACCCTAAGATGGGGTCTGACCAGGACAGAGGTCAGCAGGGCTCTCACTTCCTCCTATGCTTTCCATTCATTATTATCCCCATCCACATTATCACTGCAGTTGTAAACCCTTCATTCACGTCTTTGTCAGATACTCCACTGGGACATGGGACCCAGTTCTCTTAGAGGCTATTTCTTTTTTCTTTCCTTTTTTTTTTTTTTTGGTGTTTCAATCAGGGTTAAGTGACTCGCCCAGGGCCACACAGCTAGTTAAGTGTTATGTGTCTGAGTCCAGATTTGAACTCAGGTCCTTCTGACTCCAAGGCCGGAGCTCTATCCATTGCACCACCTAGCTGCCCATTGGAGGCTATTTCAACAGAGCTTCTGCCCTGACAGAGCTTTCCAGGCTGGCAAGGCTTACACTATAAGCTTGACAATCTTAGTGAAGCCTTTCCCAATCCCGTTTAATTCTAGCACCTTTCCTCTGGAGATTATTTCCAGTTTATCCTGTCTACAGCTTGTTTGTACATAATTGTTTGCATGTTGTCTCTTCCATTAGACTTTGAGCTTCTTGGGAGTAAGGACTGTCTTTCGCCTTTCTTTGTATCCCTATACTGTCATACTGCCTCCTGTTGGCTTGGGACCTATGGAGAGAGCCCCACACTGATGAAATGATGAGTCCTAAAAGTATGGAAATATTAGTGTTGTTATCATCCTCATGACTAGAGAAAGCTCCGCTCTGGTTTCCCCCAGTGGAGCATGTGCTGGTCTTGCTTGATCAGTGTTCTGAGTGTCTTGATAACCAGGCACCTGAGAAGAGTAGAAATATTTTTGTGTTTCCACAGCTTGGCCTCGAGCGCTTTCACGGCGTGGGGATCTTGGGCTATAATTGCACTCAGTGGTTCGTTGCTGACGTCGCCAGCATTTTTGCCGGGTAAGGAGGAAGACGGGGTCAGTTCAGGGATGTTTTGTACAGATTTTGCATGGGTCATGGAGATGAGAATCTCAGACACATACGGAGAACTGGAGCTGGAGAGGGGACAGGGAAGGCCTTAGAAGTCACCTAGTCTAACTCCCTCATTTTACAGATGATAAAATCAAGGCCCCAACAAGTGAATTAACTTGCCCAAGGTCATAGTAGCAGAGGTGGGTTTTGTACCTTGGTCTCCCCTTCTCCCAGGTGCTTTTCCCATCATACTAGGTGGGTGGTGTTGGGGCTGAATGCTTGTTTTCCTTTAGCAATAGTAAAATCAGCTTTGATCTCTAAGAAGTCAGTCGGATTTGGCTCTCTCTTCAGGTGCCTGGGGGTCTGAGATGACTGTGAATTCATTGAAAGGCAGCAATGTCCAGCAGGAGAGAAACCAGGACTGGGAACCAAGGAACTGGATTTGAGTCCTGGCACCAACAATTACTAACTGTGTGACTTTGGGCAAATGTCTTCCCCAATCTGGGCTCTCTCCTCCTCAGTAATGTGGGAAGAGTAATACTTTCATTCCTAGGGGTGAAGTGCTTTGTAAACTGACAAGTGCTAGACAAGCCCAAATTCTTAGTGGTAAGCAGCTGATAGGAGAAGGGGGCATTTCCAAGGACCAGGTCTGACCAGGGAGACTTGGCTTTCTACCTTAGCTTTGAAGCAGCCTGACTCTAGAGCCCCTGAATCCAAGCTCAAATACCAAGTTCTTTCCCTAAGTACATGCTATCCTGGGTTCGGAAGAAATGCTGCCAATTCAGTTCAGTGACCATTTGCCAAGTGCCTACTCTGTGCATTGTGTCAAAGGTGAGTGGCCATACTCCTCCTAGGCTCTGTCCTGTTAGGATCTGAGAGGGATAAGCAGAAGGAACAGAGAGGACTGGACCTTAGGCCATAGAAGGGCTGGTTGAAGGAACTAGGGAGGGTTAGCTTAGAGAAGAGACTTAGAGGGACATGAGTGGTAAGCGTTTGAATGGCCGTCACAGAGAGAGGAGATTAGACTTGGGCTACTTGGCCCCAGAGAGCAGAACTAGGAGCATGGGAGGAGATGGGGAACCGCAGAGAGGCTTATTTTGACTAGGTAGAATAGCTGGTGTTTATATTGTGCTTTAAGGTTTACAAAACACTTTACAAATATTATCTCATTTTGTCCTCACCACAATCCTGGAAGTTAGATGCTATTTCCCATTTTGCAGATGAGGAAACTGATGCACATAGTAGTTAAGTGACTTGCCTAGGGTCACATAGCTAGTAAAGTGTCTGAGGCTGGATTTGAACTCAGGCCTTCCCGACTCCAGATCCAGTGCTCTATTCTTGTACTACCTGGCTGCTTACCAAAAAAACCCAAAAAAACAAAAAACAAAAACAAAAACAAAAAAACCTTCCCTAATAATGAGAGCTATCTGAAAGTGAAATGGGCTGCCTCAAAAGGTAATGAGCTCTCCATCATTAGAGGTCCCCAAAGAAAGGCCGGAGGACCACTTGTTGGTGATATTGAGGAGAGGTGATAGGGTACAGGGCAGAGTAGGTGTTCTCTAAGGGCCCTTCATTCTCTGATCCTGGGAGAGAGATAGCTGACAGAAGAGAAGGAGCAACAACTCTGGTCACAGACTTGGATTCAAATCCTGCCTCCAGTGATAACCATGTGTATGACCTTGGGCAAATCACTTCTCCTCCCTGGGCCTTAGTTTCCTCATTTGTAAAATGAGGGTAATGGGACCAGATGACGTCTGTGGTTCCTTCCCATGATCCCATAATTGGTAAATAAATACTTGGGGAATCTCTGGCTTCTCAGGTTCCTTTCGTGTCTCATTCTCTTTGCTTTCAGAGGCATTTCTGTGGGTATTTTCCCCCAAAACTCTTCCCAAGTCTGCCGGTTCATTGCTGAAAACTCCGAGGCTAACATCTTTATGGTGGAGAATGATTGGCAGCTTCAGAAAATCCTCAAGGTAACCTTCTCCTTCTCAGAGGAGGGAGCCAGACATGACAGCAGGGACTCATTGGAAAAGACTCTGATGTTGGGAAAGATTGAAGGCCAAAGGAGAAGGGGACAGCAGAGGAGGATGTGGATAGATGGTATCATGAAAACAACAGATGTGAATTTGGGCAGACTTCCAAAGATAGTGGAGGATAGAAGGGCCTGGCATGCCATGGCCCATCGGTTTACGAAGAGTCAGACATGACTGAACCACTCTTTGTTTCTCAGAGCCTTGGCTAGAATATTTCCTCTCCAGTAATTTCTTTACTCAAGTTAACCAAAGTGTTTGGAAGACTGAGCCCTAGCCATCGCAGATGACTGGGGTCTTCAGGCTTATGTCTATTTTTTGAATTCTCACTCCTAATTACCAAGAGTCAGATCTCTGTCATAGTCTTCACTCTGACTTAAGGTGAGAAATTCCTTATAGGTCCCTGCTTATTTCTAATTGGAGATCCTGTGTTCTCAATTTATTTCAGGGACTAGGGCTTAGCCAAAAAAAAACTCTGAAGAGTTATATGGAACTGACACCTTGAATTTTGGAGGGGACCCAAAATACCTTTCATCTTGCTACTCAAATCTGACCAGTACAGAAGCTAAACCTAGGAGTCAAGATCGCTGTCTTCTTCCTACCTAGGATATTGTTGCCTTTAATATGTAGATAAATAACAACGCGTCCATACAGGACAGCTAAGTAATAGAGCACTGGACCTTCAATCAAGAAGACCTGAATTCAAATTCAGTTTCAGACACTGCCTAGTTCAGCGACTCTGGGCAAGTCACTTAACCCCTATTTGCCTTAGTTTCCTCATCGGTAAAATAAGGATAATAATAGCACTTACCTTCCCAGATTGTTGTGAGGATTGCATGACATAACGAACCCTAAAGAGCTATATAAATGTTAGCTATTGTTATTATAATACATTTGTCAAGGCTTTGCAAAATATGCTTATATAAATGTCAACTTTTGAGTGATGATAGCAATGAGGATGATGCTATCCATTAGAATGTAAGTTCCCTTTTTTTTCCCCTTTGTATCCAATGTTTAGCATTTTAATCAATGCTTGCTGATTGACTGATAAGTGCATTAGGCAAGGCAAAACAGGCAATACCATGTTTTATAACGTTAACTTGCTTGCACCCCAAAGCCCTGAGTATCTACCTGCCCCTTTCTGCTATGCCATACTTTCTTTTTCAGATCCAGGATCACTTACATCATCTGAAAGCTATTGTGCAATATAAAGACAAACTCACAAAGAAGTTACCTAATACTTACAGCGTATGTATGAGCCATGAAGGGGCCAAGGGGACAGAGAAGGGAAGACAGCTATTTATATATTATATAAATATATAATAATATATTAATACTATAATAATAATAATGAATATTTATATAATAAGACAAGTCCTTATTAAAGGGGATGGAGGCCTGGGGTGAGAGAGGCTGGCCACCAAGTCAAGAATCAACTCATGCCCAAGCTCATAGAACCAGTGGATGTACCTGGTGGCCTAGGGGAAGATGGGAAAATCTTTTTCCATTTTCTCTCCAATCTGGATTGAAGGTTACCCAAGACTATGGCAGACCAACCTGCTGCAAGGAGGAGAAAGAAGCCTTGGGAAGAGATGATAGCAAGAGGAATCAGGGCGACTACTAGGAAACAAAGAGTGGATGGTGTAGATAGTAGTAGAGTGAAGAGGAGCTGACTGCAAGATGAAGTGGGGCATAAGAGAAAGAACATTGGATTTGGAATTGGGGGACCTGAGTTCAAATCTTGACCTTGGCAGTTACCTGTATACCCTTGGGCAAATCACTTCCCTTATCTGGAGCTCAGTTTCCTCATATGTGAAATGGGAGGATTGGACTTAATGACCTACAAGGTCCCTTCCAGCTTGAAAATCCTATTGACCTAGATACTAGAGTCATCAAGATATAATGAAAATACAGGAGTGATAATAATAACTCACAGTTGTAAACCTTGAGGTTTGCAGAATCCATTCCTTGGGACACCCCTGTGAGGTAGACATTGCAAACATTATCATCCCTATTTTACAGATGAGGAAACTGAGACTTTGAAAGGGTAAGAGACTTGTCTCTGATCATCCAGCTAATGAGTACCTGAGGCAGGAATCCAGCCTGGGTCTCCCTATTCTAAGTCCTGAGCTCTATGCAGTCCAATCCACATGATGTGCTAGGAGGGTTACCCCCAGCTTATGACGGGGGACCTGCAGGCATGGGTTCTATGGGAACAGGATGAAATTCTGATTGTGGACTGGACTGGATGGGACATGAAGGAGGAAAGAAGGAAGGGAGGAAGGAAGAAAAGGAAGAAGGAAGAAAAAAGAAGTAAGCATTTATGAAGCATCTCCTATGTGCCAGGCACTACCAATATTATCTCATTTTATAATGAGAATGATAGGAAGGGACGATGCCTACGTGTATCATAGGGAAGGAGGGCTGAGAGGGTTATGAGATGCCCCGTCTTTCCTTCTGCTGGGGTTTCTGAGTCTGGCTTAGGCACTACTGCTTGTGTAGGAGGCCAGCCTAGTGAGACCTATGGGCTGGGGCCAGGATGGAGGTAGCCAATCAGTTCCTGATGACTTGTGTCTGCTTCAGTGGCTGGGGTGGTCTTCGGTCACATTGCTGCGAATCAGGTGCAGTTTGAAGGCTATATAAATAAAGCTCCAGCCTGGGGCAATATAGTCTCTTTTATAATGAGTACATGACCAAGCCTATGAATTTGGCCCCATCGGCCAGTTGCCACAGTGCTGAACTTGGCTGGCACCAAGAGCCAGGATGGCCTAAGAGCTTTGGGGAAGGCTCAGTGTACTTTGGAAGACCCATCAGGACGCTTGATCACCCCTGTGTCAAGGGAAGGAGGGTAGTGGGAATGGGTCAATTATACTATGAACAATGAGTTGAAAATAACTTAAAGGAGGCCCTGACATCAACAGTATCTCATAATTAGTTGGGGAGACTGGTTTGCACAATTTCTCTTCATGGAGAGTTAGGCTACTGATTCTCCTTAACACCCCAGTCATCTGTATGCTATTGCCTCTCCACCTGTACAGTGGGAAGAATTCCTCACCCTAGGGGTAAATATTTCTGATGAAATGCTGGACAAAGTCATTGATTCCCAGAAGCCCAACCAGTGCTGTATGCTGGCCTATACTATGGGGACCACTGGACCACCGAAGGCAGTTATGCTCAGTCATGACAATGTAAGTGTCTTTCTCTGAAGCCCCAAAGCCGTTCTGATCCTAACTCTGTGACCCTATTCAGGGGTGGGGAATCTGTGGAACATATTTGTTCTGTGAAGTTTGGATTCAGTCAAAGGGCTTCACTTGAGGACCTAGAGGGCCACATGTGGCCTTGAGGTCGCAGGTTCCCCAGGGATTTGTTCTGTGAAGTATGGATTTAGTCAAAGGGCCGCCCTTGAGGACGGAGGCTGCAGGTTCCCCACCCCTGCCTACATCATCTCAAGGTACTGGGCATGGGCACTAGAAAGCAATGAGGTATATCAAAGAGATCTTACATCTCATGACTTACAAATCAAAGGGGAGGAGGGGTCTAACCACTTGGGTCTAGATTCTCCAATCAGTAGTTCCCCTAAAAGATGTGCTGTGTGACACTAGGCAAAATACTTTTCCTCTCTGGGCTTCTGTTTCATCCTTTGTAAAATGACAGGGGAGGGGTCACTTGTAGATGAATTTACAAGGCCCTCTTTAGAACCGACATTTTGAAATGTTACAATCTGTAAATTAGGGGGAAAAACCCTCTAATGCCCAAGAAAAGGAGCAAGGATGGTTAAGATTAGCATTGTACATTTCCCCCCTAACATTTTAAAGGTATAATTATAACAACAATAATAATTAATTGATTAATTAATTTTTGGTTTTCAATATTCACTTCCATAAGATTTTAAGTTTTAAATTTTCTCCCCCTTCCTCTCCTTCCCCACCTCAAGACAGCATGCAATCTGATATAGGCTTTACATATACATTCATATTAAGCATATTTTCCCATTAGTCATGATATATAGAAGAATTAGAACTAATGGGAGGAACCACAAGAATGAAGCAATAAAACAAAACAACAAAGGAAAAGGAGAGCAAATAGTATGCTTCCATCTGCATTCAGACTCCATAGTTCTTTCTCTGGGTGTGGATAGCAATTTCCATCGATAGTCTTTTGGAGTTGTCTTAGATTCTTGCATTGCTGAGAAGAACTGTCTGTCAAAGTCAGTCATTACACAACGTGGCTGTTACTGTGTACAGTGTTCTCCTGGTTCTGCTCACTTCACTCAGCATCAGACCATACAAGTCTCCAAATTTTTCTGAAGTCCACCCGCTCATCATTTCTTACAGCACAATAGTATTCCATTTCATTCACGTACCACAACTTGTTCAGCCATTCCCCAATTCATGGGCATCCCCTCAATTTCCAATTCTTGGCCACCACAAAAGAGTTGCTATAAGTATTTTTGTACATGTGGGTCCTTTTCCTGTTTTTATGATCTCTTTGGGATACAGCCCTAGAAGTGGGTCGAAGGCTATGCACAATTTTATAGCCCTTTGGGCATAATTCCAAATTGCTCTCCAGAATGGTTGGATCAGTTCACAACTCCACCAACAATGCATTAGTGTTCCAAATTTCCCACATCTTCTCTAACATTTATCATTTTCCTGTTTTGACGTGTTAGCCAATCTGAGAGGTGTGATGTGGTACCTCAAGAGGCATTTTGATTTGCATTTCTCTAATCAATAGTGATTTAGAACATTTTTCATATGACTATAAATAGCTTTAATTTCTTCCTCTGAAAACTGCCTGTTTATATTTTTTTTGACTATCAACTGGGGAATGACTTGTATTTTTATAAGTTTGATGCATATGGTCTATATATTTTAGAAATGAGGCATTTATCAGGGACACCGGAACAACAATAATAACCAACAATTATGTAGGGCTTTAAAGTTTGCTGAGCTCATTCATACACATTTCATTTGAGCCTCACCATAAGCCTGTGAGGTAGGTATTATTATCCCCATTTTATAAATGAGGCAAGTGAGGCTCAGAGAGGTTAACCCCCAATTTACAAATAATGAAACTGAGGCTAATAGAAATTAAATGACTTCCTCATGGTCATATGATGTCAGAGCCAAGGTTTGAACTGAGGTTTCCGAATTCCAAGTCCATTTCTCCTTCTTAACTCCCCGATTACTATTGAGGGCACTGCCATTATCTAGTCCCCTAGGCTGAAAATCTGCTTGTCTCCTTGACTCCTCACTCTTCTTCTTAAAGAGTAAGAGAACTGGGGACAGCTAGGTGGCGCAGTGGATAGAGCACCGGCCCTGAATTCAGGAGGACCTGAGTTCAAATCCGGTCTCAGACACATAACACTTACTAGCTATGTGACCCCGGGCAAGTCACTTAACCCCATTGCCTAGCAAAAAAAACAAAAAAAAGAAAAGAAACCAACAAAACAAAGAGTAAGAGAACTTCACTGCCCATATCCAATCTGGTGTCACATTCCGTGGATTTCATCTTTGTAACATCTCTCATACATGTTCACTTCTCTTCTCTGACACTGCCATCATCTTGGTACAGACCCTCATCACCTCATGCCTAGACTATTTTACCACTCTGCCGACTGGTCTCGCCTCACTCTAGTCTATCCTCCACTCAGCTGCCAGATCTGATCATATCATGCCTCATCCCCTACTCATTAAACTTCATTGGCTCCCTATTACCACCAAGATCAAATATAAAATCCTTTGTCTGGCATTTGAAGCCCTTCATAATCTGATCCACAACCCCCAACTTTCCATTCTTTATGTACTTGACTTCCCTTCACACACTCTTGAGATCCAGTGACCCTGGCCTCCTTACTGTGAGCATTTTCTCTGGCTGTTCCCCATGCCTGGACTGCTCTCTCTCCTCATCTCCACCTCCTGACTTCCCTCAAGTCTCAGCTAAAATCCTGCCTTCAACAGGAAGCCTTTCCTGATCCCCCGTAATGCTAGTGCCTTCCCTCTGCTGATTATTTCCAATTTATCCTCTGTCTAGCTTGTTTGTACATAGTAGTTTGCATGCTGTCTCCCCATGAGACTTTGAGTTGCTTTTGAGCAGGGATGGTCTTTTGCTTTTCTTTGTATACTTTCACAGTGCTAAGTACATAGTAGGTTCTTAATAAATGTATATTGATGATTGACTGACCAACTCACTCACTCCTTCCACTGCCTCTCAACACTGCCTTTGGGGTTTTTTCTCTCCAATAAGTGTTCAGTCCAGGGAAAAGGTTATGTACCCCATTTTCCTCTAAGCAGATCAGAAAAACTGTGGAAGGCAGGGCATGCCACATTGTGAAGAATACTGACCTTAGGAACACAGCCACAGAATTAGTCTCAAACAGAGGGAACTTCTAAGGGCTGGCCAAGAATAATCTCTATAAGGTTGCCAACTGAAGTGGTAAGCCCTGGGGATACAAAGAAAGATAAAAATAATCCCGGCTATAAAGGAGCTCAGTGTGATGACACAGACCACATGCAGACAACTAGGTACATACAAGATATGTAACAGGCGGATGGCAGGTAATCTCAGAGGGGAAGACTGACAGTAGAGGATGGGGAGAACTGGGACAGGCTTCTTGCAACAGTGGAATTTGAGCTGACTCTTGAAGCAAGCCCCAGCCAGTGGGTAGATGTCGGGAGGCGGAACATTCCAGGAAAAGGAGACAGACACGTGCCTTTGGGCACTTAGCTGGGAGATGAGACGTGTGATAGGCTAGTGTAGGGAGATGACAGACTGTATGGAGGGGAATCAAATATAAGAACAGAAGTGTAGGTGAGGTCCACGTTACCAGGGACCGACAGGGGATTTTATATTTGATCCTGGAGGTAATAGGAAGTCGTGTATGACTGTAGTCAGTAACAGAGCTGGGCTTCAAACCTAGAGTTTGCGGTTCTCTATCAATTACCACCCTGCTGCCTCTGGGTAAGCTGTTTTGTTGAAAAATCAGCATTTTGAGGACAAAACTGAGTCTCGTTTTGTGTATAGATATACCTTAGGCTACTCCCCAGGCCTTGGGTCCCCAGGAACTCAAACACTAGCTAATTCACCGATAGATTGGCCTGGTATGCATCTTATAATAATAATAAATAATAACAATAGCTAGCATTTATATAATGCCTACTATGTGCTAAGTGCTTTCCAAATATTATCTCATTTGACCCTCACAACAACCCTGTGAGGTAGGTGCTGTAATTATCCCCATTTTACAGTTGAGGAAACTGAAGCAAACAGTGGTTAAGTGACCCGCCCAGGGTCACTCAGTGTCTGAGGTGGGATTTGGATTCAGGTCTTCTTGACTCCAGGCCCAGAGTTCTCTCCACTGTACCACCTAGATGCCTACATCTGTGGGAATGCTACAGGTAAATGTTTTGGCAGGACAGACTGGTCCAGGGGTTCCTAACCTGGTGTCCTTCATAGACTCTAGAGGGCTCCATGAACTTCGATGGGAAAAAAAATTATAGCTTTATTTTCACTAACCTTTAACTGTAACTTAGTATTCCCTTTGGTTATTTAAAAGCATTCTTCCGAGAAGAGAGACATAGTCATCCCTGACTGCCAGAGAGCTCCAGGACCCCTAAAAGGTTAAGATCTTCTGATTTAATTCAATCTCCCCATTTTACAGATGGGCGAATAAAGGCCAGACCTAGGGAGTAGCCACTCTCCACTTGTCCAAGGTCACACAAGGTCAGGAATCACATTCAGGTGTAATGACTCCTAGTCATTTGAGGTAGCTAGGGTATTTAGTGGATAGAGGACTGGGCCTGGAGTCAGGAAGAACTGAGTTCAAATGCAGCCTCTGATTCTAACTAACTGTGTGCTTAATCGATGCTTCTCTTCCCTAGTTCTCTCCACTGCATAACTTGTGTTTCAGATCACGTGGACATCGGCAGCTGTGCTCCAAAGCCTTCCCTACACTTATCCTCCCGAAAATCAAGAGGTCTTGGTGAGCTACCTCCCCCTCTGCTTGATCAATGCTCAGATATTTGAAATCTGGATCCCTGTTACCATTGGAGCGTCCATCTTCTTTGCTGAACCTAATGCCATGAAGGTATGTGCCCCTATAGGTAGGAACAAGGTCTGTACTCGTATAGGCAAAAGCAGCAGATGAGACCAGCTTGGGAAAGCCCATCCTAAAGCTGGAGGCTTATGGTTTGTATTTGGGGCGGGGCAATGGGGTTAAGTGACTTACCCAGGGTCACGCAGCTAGTAAGTGTTATGTGTCTGAGGCTAGATTTGAACTCAGGTCCTCCTGACTTCAGGACCAGTGCTCCATCCTACCTAGCTGCCCCTGGGAGGCTTATTGTTAAAGGCAAACATCTCACGTTGGGATAATGGGTGCTAGGGGCTTGATGATGTCATGTTATATTCTGGTGTAAGTCATCGTACCTGTAAAGACTTATGTCTGTTGCCCAATCTCTGCAGGCCATACAGGGGAATTCTCATGGGACTGCAGGTCAAAGAGGGCATCTAAATACACTGAACTCACTGCTGTGTGAGTTTCCTTTCTTTTATTCTCCCTCCTCCTCAACATTATGGTTGGAGGACCTTGTATCTGGGATTGGACATTAAACTTACCTGGAGAGAGAATGAGTGGACTGGATTTGGAATCAGATAACCTAGTTTTTAATCCTGGTTCTATCACTTACCATTTGAATGACCTTGGCCAAGCCCTTTTCCTTTGTGGATATCAAGTTCCCTCCTTGGTTAAATGAAGGGATTGAGTTTAATGGTCTGATTCAACTAAAATAAACATAGTATAGTAGAAAGATCAAGGCACCTTGAATCAACAGGCCTGGGTTCAAGCCCCGCCTCTGATGCTTTCTATCTATGTGATCTTGGTTATTTAATTTCCCTGGCCTTGGTTTCCTCATCTGTAAAACTGGGGGAGGGGAAGGATAGAGTGGAACTTGGCTGGATTAAGTGACCTTTGGTTTTTAATCTCTTGCATGTCCAAATGCCTAATGAACATGGGGATGGATACCCCATAGACATCTTAAACTCATTATGTCCAAAACTGAACTCATCTCATCTGAACCCAAAGCTTTCCTTCTTCCTAGATTCCCTATTACTCCCAAGGGTACCACCATCCTCCCAACTTGACCCCTCCCTCTCTCTCATCCCCCCATCCATCCAATCTGTTACCAAAGTCTTTTGATTTGCCCTCTTTTCTTCTTCGTCCTGTAGCCCCTCCTACTTTGCTTTCCTTCCTGAGCTTAATCTATGACCCTTTAGTGATAGAAGTGAGGTTGGGGAGAGGTGTAAACACTATGTGGGCAGCCACTCCCGGGATGGTTCACAGGAGATGAACTTGTCAATGATTCTTGAGGCATATCTCATACTGAGCTGGGCCTTCTGCATAAGAACTCATAGTGCAAACCTTATGGTCAGCTACATTGTAAGTGCCCCTGGAGGGAGGGTGTTGTAGAAAAAGCCTGGGGCTGGGGGTAGGCGGGTGGTGGCAGAAGATCTGAGTGCCAGGTCAGTGCTGCCACTGACCAGAAGCAGCTCATTTTCCCTTGATAACCTCAATTTTCCCATCTATAAAATGAGAGGTTTGGACCAAGTTTTCTCCAAGACATGTCCTAGCTTTGACATCCTGTTTTTAAGTTGTTTTCTAGCCCCGTGTCCTAAGATTTCCCCCTGATTCTGTCATTCTGTGTTTGGAGGGCCCTTTTGGCTCTAACATTTTATGACTTCAAGGTCCCAAAACCCTGTCTTAGAGAGTGAGAGGCAGTGATCACTATGCTTGGGAGTAGCCTTGCCAGAATTTTCCGTAAGTTCAAGGATTCATATACTTGGGAGAGTTGTTTGGATCCCGAGAGCCTGAAACACACAGGCTTGAGCTATGCTCAAGTCTACCCAGGAGTATTAGAGCTGGGCACCAGTCCAAAGCCAAGGCTTGCAGAGAAGGCAAGACCTGGCAACTTCTCCACTTTGTTGATGTTGGAAGTCGACATGGATGTTAATGTTGCCTCTAGCTCTGGCTGTTCGAATGAATGTATGAGGATAATGCTGAGAATCGATTCCCTGAATCCATTCATACTGAACACAGAATGTTAGAGATGGTATTGACCTTAGAATATAGAACACAGAATGTCAGAGTGCGGAAGGACCTTACAATCTACAACGTCAGGGCTGGAAGGGCCCTTAGAATCCAAAATGTCAGAACTGGGAAGGATCTTAAAGCATAGTCAACAAAAAGTTATCAAGTGTTTATTAAATGCTTACTATATGCCAGCCACTGTGCTAAGTGCTGGAGGTAAAAAGGCAAAAAACAGTCCCTGCTCTTGAGCTTACAATCTTCTTGTTGTTATACATTATGCACACACACACACACACACACACACACACACACATGGAGACAAAAGTGCATTGTAAAAGTACAAACACCTAATAAATAATGTTTCAGTAGAATAGGAAACTCCCAAGGGTAAGTGATACATTTAGCCAGATCATTTTTTAACTTGTAAAAAAATTTTTTTACATTCATTTTTTAAAAAACTGAATTCTAAGTTCTCTTCTTCCTCCCTCCTTCCCCTCCTCCCTCATTAACATGGTAAGCAATTTGATATGGGTTATACATGTATAATCATGCAAAGCATATTTCCATATTATTCATGTTGTGAAAGAAAACACAGACAAAAAAAGCAGGAAAAAAAATAAAGTGAAAAATAGTATGCTTTGATCTGCATTCATACTCTATCAGTTCTTACTCTGGAAGTGGATAGCATTTTCCATCATGAGTCCTTTGGAATTGTCTTGGATTGTTGTATTGCTGAGAATGAGCTCACAGTCTTTTGGGGAAACAGCATGTATACATCTATACATGTATACATCTATACATGTATAAATACGATACATACAGGATAAAGAAATCAGAGATAATCTACAGTGGAAAGGTGCTAGCAGTAAGGGGATTTGATAAGGTTTCTTGTAGAAGGTGGGATTTTAGCTGGGACTTGACAGGAGCCAAGGAAGACAGGAGGCAGAGAGGAGGATGGAGACCATTCTAGGCGTGGAAAACAGCTAGAGAAAATGTCCTGAGCTGAGAGATGGAGTGTTCTGTGAGGGGAACAGCCAGGAGGCCAGGGTCACGAGTCACTGAGTATGTGAAGGGTGACAAGGTGTAAGAAGACAAGAAAGGTAAGAGGGAGCCAGTTTATAAAGGGCTTTATAAGGCAAACGTAGGATTTTGTATTTGATCTCAGAGGTAACAGGGAATCATTTTTTTGAGGGAGAGGACAAGAGGGACCAGGACAAAGCCTAGAGGGATCCTCATGGATAGTGGGAATAGCCTTGATGAAGGAGCATAGGAAGCTCAGAAGGAGCAGCCAAGTAAAAAGGAGAACCAGGAGAAAACAGCATCAGGAAGACCTAGAGGGAGGAAAAGGGGGTGATCAATAGTGTCAGAGGTTACAGAGAGGTCGAGGAGATTGAGGATTGATAAAAGCCCACTGGATTTGATTTTTAAGAGACCACAGAATATAGAAAATCAGAGCTATAAGGGATTTCACAATCTAGAACATCCATGCTAGAAGGGCCCTTGAATACAGTGCATCAGATCTGGGAGGGCCTTTAGACTGAGAGGGTCCTTAGAACAGAGAATGTCAAAACTGGAAGGGCCCTTAGAATATAGAACATCAGGTCTGGGAGGGCCTTTAGAACAAAGAATGTAAGAGCTAGGAGGACCTTTAGACACAGAATGTCAGAGTTGAGAGGGCCCTTAGAACAGCGAATGTCAGAACTAGGAGGGTCCTTAGAACAGAGAATGCCAGAGCTGGGAGTACCATTAGACACAGAATGTCAGAGCCGGAAGGGCGCTTAAAACACAGAGACTGGGAGGGTCCTTAGAACACAAAGTGTCAGGGCTGGGAGGGACTTCAGAATCTGGAAAGTCAGACCTAAGAGTGGTTTTAGAACATAGAAAATTGAGTGTCAGGATCTTAGGACACATCTTATGCAAAAACAAACATTTACTTAGTACCTAACTATATTACTGCCCCAGGAGCCAAAAAAGCTAGATAATTGAGATAAGATAGTGTCCTTGTCTTCATGGAGGTCACCATCAAATTGGTAGAATAAGATACTAAAGCAGACAGCTGCATTGCCTAAAAATTACATATGTTAAGTACAACAGGAAGTAACAAAAAAAAAGTTCTATGTGAGACCCAAGTGGGGAAGGTTATCACTGACCAAGGGGATGGGGCTTGGGCACTGGGAGATCCTCCGACTAGAGGAGGTGGCATTCGAACTGGAATTTCAAATAAAGGTAGGAATTCAACAGAGGAAGAGGGGGAGGGAGGCATTTGAGGTAGAGGAAACAGTGTGAGCAAAAGCATGGAGGTGGGAGAATCCAGGACATATCCAGGAGAGAGAGAGTTCTTCAGGATAAAATGGAGCCTGAAATTAGTAGGTTGGAGTTAGATGTGATAATAACACGACAGGGGTGGTGTCAGGTGGTGAAGGGTGAGCTCCAAACACCAGCCTGAATATAAAATGTCAGAATTGAGAGAAACCTTAGTTTCTTAGATCTCATTTGACCGCTTTCTTTTGATAGTAAAACTAAGGCCTAAAATGGATTAAGGACTTGTCCAAGGCTATAGAGTAAGGCAGTGGCAAGCCTGAGACTCTTCTTGAGACCTTCTGGCTTTCCATCTAGGGATTTTTCATGACCCCTTGCTGATTTCTTGACCTTAACTTCATCATGTCAGATTCAGGGATCTCTGATAAACACACTGCTGGAGGTGAGACCTACTACCTTCTGTGGAGTCCCCGAAGTCTGGGAAGAGATGATGCGGAGAATGAGCTCAGATCAGATGTCAGCTGCCTCATTCAAGAAGAATATGATTGTTTGGGCCAGGAAAGTGGGATTAAAAGCATACAAGAAGCGGAAAACTGAGTGAGTAGGAAATCCTTCATTCACTTTTTCTCTCATTCTTTTATGCTCTCCATTTTCATTCCACAAGCATTTATTAAGCACCTAACAGCATACAGAGCACTGTGCTAGGCTCTGGGGAAGGTACAAAGATAAACAAGGGCAAAGTCCTCTGGGTCACCAGCTGCTTTCTACCTGGGTGGCTCATGGGCATCTCAAATTTAGCAGATCCAAAATGGAACTCGTTCAAAAGGCAGGATTCTGCTTAACTTCACCAACATCCTTCCAGTCACGCAGACTGGCAGTTTTGGAGTTGTCTCAATTCTTCTCCTATCCTCATCCCTCCTTATGTCTAATCAATTGTCAGGGATGGTCCATCTCTCTCATTCATCTTCTTCCTTCCACTCACATGGCTGTCAACCTAGTTCAGGCTTTGGGTTTGTCTGGGATGGTCTATTTCAGGGAAAAAAAAGAAAGGAAGGAAGGAAGAATGGAAGGAAGGAAAGAAGGAAGGAAGGAGTAGGGAAGGAAAGAGGAAGGAAGGAAAGAGGGAGGAAGGAAGGAAAGAAGGAAGAAAAGGTAGAAGGGAAGGAGAAAGAGGAGGGAGGAAGGAAGGAAGGATACATTTATTAAACTCCTATTATGAAAATTATATGCAAATCAATACATGGCACACTTAAAGAAATTAGATAAAGATTGATATTAGTAAGAAAGACACAAGAACAAATAAAATAGAGAGCTCAGAAGTAGCAAAAAAAAAATGTTGTGGAATGAATTCAAGCTGAGAGAGAGAGAGGGAGAGAGAAGAGAAAATAATGAAGAAAATGACCAATGTGGAATGTATAATTTAAAAAACCTGAATAAATTTAAATTCCTGATAGTAGATTTACTAACTGAAAAAATACTTTTTAAAAAATTGTTTTCTCTTCCCTGCCCCATTTGGAAAAACAAAACAAAACAAAACACCTAACCCTTGCAACAAATATACATAGTCAAACAAAACAAATTACCATATTGCTTATATTCAAAAATATATGCCTTATTGAGAAAAACAAATTGCAGACAATGCATTCCAGTGGGAAAATACATTCAGAAAATGACTGAATCACATTAAAAAAGGGGAAATGTGCAGATTCAGGTAAGAAAATCTAGTAGAGAGGCCTCCTGCAGCATCCTTAGGATTCCTTGATATCCCAGAAAGGTTAGAAAAAAAATTCTGAACACTATATTCCAGGAATTTATTCAAGAAATTCTTCCAGAATTAAGGAAACCAAGCAATCCTTTTGAAGATCCTTCCCATGTGAGAAGTCCAGGGTTGGGGTCAGCTTCTCTAGTGAGAAAGTCTCTATGGCATGGTAGGGACAATCCAGGGTCAGGGATGCAGCTTGGAGAGAAATTCTATCAAAGCCAAAGTTAAAGAAGAAAGAATTCAAATACATAAATAAGGACTTTATATTATTACTAAATGCTTCTATTCAAATTGAGAGGATGTCTGTTTTAAATATAATTTAGCATTAAAATTCATAAGAAAAAAAATCTCACAGACTTGCAAGAAGAAATAGCTAAATAGGAAGCCATACGAATTGATGAAGACTGAGTAAACAGAAGTAGGAAAACAACATACATAATGACTAAAACAGGCATAGGGAACCTGCGGCCTCGAGGCCACAAGTGACCCGCTGGGCGTTCAAGTGAAGCCCTTTGACTGAATCCAAACTTCACAGAGCATTTGTTCTGTAAAACTTGAACTCAGTCAAAAGGCCGCACCCAAGGACCGAGAAGGTCACTCGTGGGCCTCGAGGCTGAAGGTTCCCCAACCCTGGACTAAGACAATATAAATAGAACAAAAAAATAAAACTTACTGCTATATAATTATAATGATCAACCTCAGCCCCAGAGAAGAAAATGTACCTGCCTATAGGCAGAGAGGATGGGGTACATATGAATGAGACATTTTCTTATACAAAGAATTGGGGAGGAAAAAAAAGCTTAAGTATAACAGTGTAAATCTCTGTTTCATGTCTTGGTGGTTTTTTTTTTTTTCCCAGCCAAAGACAAGGTTTATTAGAATACTGATTGGGGTGAGTGAGATTCCTAGTGAGTCTGTGCTATTGTCTAGATTTTAAGAATCTGAGCCTCATATGTCTTGTTTTTATAAAGTACACATTAATTTAAACATAGTAGTTCCAACTTTCCAGTTTGTGACCCTTTATGAATTTCTGTTTTCTTCTGTGTATTTTAAAAAATGTTTCATTAATGCTGTTTCTTCTTTTTAAAAAATTTGTGTCTGTCTCTACCCACCCTCCACCCTCATAGCTGCCTTTAAATCTCTTCCCACTTAAAAAACCTCTCTCTTGTAATAAATAAGTCAACAAGCAAAACAAATGCATGCATTGATAGTGTCTGAAAATGAATGTTTCTGTCTGTATTTCTAGTCCATCACCTATCTGCCAAGAGGTGGGAAGTTAGCTCTATTATAAAATGAAATTAGACATTTATTTCAAAGTTACAAAATTGGAGAGTAACTCAAATTATATTCTTCACTTCAAGTTACTTTACAAAGTGAGAAAAAAAATCATGGGTCCATGTCTGGAGTCCTGATTAGTTATTGCTTTGATCATAGTTCTTAAATCTTTCAGAATTGTTTTCCTTTACAATGTTATATTCATTGTATAAATTGTTCTCCTATTTCTAGTCACTTTACTCTGTAGCATTTCATACTAGTCCTTCCAGATTCCTTTGAATCCATCCTTTTCTTCATTTCTTATGGCACATTATAATATTCTATTACATTTATATGCCATAATTTGTCCCACCATTCAATAAGTCATGGGTTAGCTAGTGCGCTTTTCATTCTTTGCTATGACAAAAGTGTTGCTCTACATATTTTTATTCGTATGGGTCTTTTCCCTCTTTCTTTGATCTCTTGGGAAAATGTGACTAGTAGTGGTATCACTGAATCAAAGGGTATTCACAATTTAGTGACTTTTTTAGTATAGTTATGAACTACTTTCCAGAATAGTTGAATTAATCCACAACTTTGCTAGCAATGCATGTGTGCCTATTTTTCTACAGCCCCTCCAACAATTGTATTTTTCCTTTTTTTTCTTTTTTGGTCAACTTTGACCATCTGATGGATGTGAGTCAAAACAACTTCAGAATTGTTTTAATTCGCCTTTCTCTTATTATTAGTGATTTGGATAATTTTTTCATATGATTGTTGATAGATTGTCTTTCTTGTTTTTGAAAACTTCTTGTTCAGATATTTCAACCTATAATTTGTATTTCCACTAGGTCATCATTGAAAAAAGACAATAATTTTATTTCTCCATAATTCTGTATCCCACTTTCATTAGAGGTTATTATCAATTTTGTCTTCTCTCTTTAACATCCCACACTACCCCCTTATGCCACTTTGGGATATTGATCCAAGCTTTAATGACAAAATAGAGATTATTCTTTATAAGCTCCATCTTCTCCTCTTCTCGATATCTTTTTTTATTTCTTATTTTATTTTTCTCAATTACATGCAAAAAAATTTAACATTCATTTTTTTTAATTTTGAGTTTCAAATTTTTTCTCTCCCTCCCCTCGCCCCTCCTTTAGAAGGCAAGCAATTTGATGTCGATTATACATATGCAGTCATTCAAAATTTATTTCAATATTAGCCTTGTTGCAAAAGAAACACAGATGAAAAAAAAGAAAGATATAGTTTAAAAAGTATGTCTCCTTGAAATCAGTTCTTTCTCTGGAGGTGGCTAGCATTTTTCATCATGAGTCCTTTGGAATTATCTTGGATCTTTGTATTTGAAAATAGCTGAGTCATTCACAGTTGATCATTGTAGGATATTGCTATTACTGTACGCAGTGATTTCCAGGCTCGGCTCACTTCACTTTGCATCAGGTCATGTAAGTCTTCCCAGGGTTTTATGAAAGCATCATGCTTGTCATTTCTTATAGCACAATATTTTTCCATTATAATCATATACCACACAACTTGTTCAACCATTCCCCAATTGACAGACATCCCCTCAATTTCCAATTCTTTGCCACCACAAAAGGCTGTTATATAAATATTTTTGTAGATATAGGTCCTTTTCCTTTTTTTTTTTTTTTTTTGGATCTCTTTGGGATACAGATCTGGTATTACTGGGTCAAAGGGTATTCACAGTTTAATAGCCCTTTGGGCATAGTTCCAAATTGCTCTGTAGAATGGTTGGATCAGTTTACAACTCCACCAACAATGCATTAGTGTCCCTATTTTCCCATATCCCCTCCAACATTTATCATTTTCCTTTCTTGCGTTATCAGCTGATCTGACAGGTGTGAGGTGGTACCTCAGAGCTGTTTTAATTTGCATTTCTCTAATCAATACTGATTTAAAGCAATTTTTTCAATATGACTACAAATAGCTTTGATTTCTTCATCTGAAAACTGCCTGTTATATCCTTTAACCATTTATCAATTGGAATGACTTGTCTTCTTATAAATTTGACTCAGTTCTCTATATATTTGAAAAATGAGGCCTTTATCAGAGAAACTGGCTGTAAAAATTTCTCCGTGGTTTCCTAATCCCTGGTTTCCTTCTAATCTTGGCAACAGTGGGTTTGTTTGTGCAAAACCTTTTTAATTCAATGAAATCAAAATTATCCATTTTACATCACATAATGCTCTCTATCTCTTGTTTGGTCATAAATTCTTCCCTTCCCCACAGAACTGACAAGTATATTATTCCATACTCTTCTAATTTGCTGATGGTATTATCCTTTAGATCTAAATCATGTGCCCATGTTGACCCTATCTTGGTATACAGTGTAAAATGTTGGCCTAGACCTAGCTTCAACCAAACTGCTTTCTAGTTTTCCCAGCAGTTTTAGTCAAATAGTGATTTCTTGTCCCAAAAGCTTGGGTGTTTAAATTTATCAAACACTAGATTACTATGGTCATTTATTATTGTGTATTGTGTATCTAATCTACTCCCCTAATCCACCACTGTCTTTCTTTCTTTTCTCCACTCTATTTCT